GCAATTCTCCTGCCTCAGCCTCCTGAGCAGCTGGGACTACAGGCACGGGCCACCATGCCCAGCTAATTTTTTGTATTTTTAGTAGAGACGGGGTTTCACCATGTTGACCAGGATGGTCTCGATCTCTTGACCTCATGATCCACCCGCCTCGGCCTCCCAAAGTGCTGGGATTACAGGCTTGAGCCACCGCGCCCGGCCCCGGTTTGTCTTTTCTAGCTGGTGGACGTTCAGCTTGTTGACAAGGTTTTGCAATTACAAAGCACCTTTGTTACAGGTTACTGTACCTGTCCCTCATACTTTTGACAGCGTCTCCCGGCATACAGCCAGAAGTGGGTGTACAGACTCCTCTTTCCGCTCCCTTCCACTTCATCAGCCTGGCTGGGGGCTCTTCCAGGAGGTGGGACCGCTTGGTTACTTCCAAGTGGTGCCTCTCTCACTGCGTAACAAACGCCTTGAGGGCAGAGATTTTGCAGTCTTGCTTACTGAGGCGTTTTCCAAAACCGGGACCGAGGACTCTGACACCCTTGCGGAGAGTGGAGGGTGGCCGGCGGGCGCCGGAGTTTGGCAGAATGCCGCTGGGGGAGGCGGGGCGGGGAGGAAGTCTCCGGGCCCTGCCGCGGCCTCTCTTAGGGACGTTTCTCCTCCCGGGGACAAATACTCCCCGCACAGGGGCGCGGAGCCTCGACTTCTTTTTTTTTTTTTTTGAGAAGGAGTTTCACTCATGTTACCCAGGCTGGAGTGCAATGGCGCGATCTCGGCTCACCGCAACCTCCGCCTCCTGGGTTCAGGCAATTCTCCTGCCTCAGCCTCCTGAGTAGCTGGGATTACAGGCACGCACCACCATGCCCAGCTAATTTTTTGTATTTTTAGTAGAGACGGGGTTTCACCATGTTGACCAGGATGGTCTCGATCTCTTGACCTCGTGATCCACCCGCCTCGGCCTCCCAAAGTGCTGGGATTACAGGCTTGAGCCACCGCGCCCGACTTCTTTCTTGGCCAGCTCCCCCAGGGCAGGACCTAGCATAGCCTGGCCCCGCCCCTGGGCTCCGCTCCGCCCACCCCGGGCACCTCCCTCTCCCGCGGTGAGTCAGGCGGCGGTGACGGCAGCGGAGGGGGCGATGACGGGCGAGCGGGCGGCCGCGGCGGAGCAGCACAGGGCGGGGTGCGGCGGGCCGGCAGGGGCGGCCGAGCGGGCGGTGGGCATGACGGGGGCGCGTTGGGCGCTGGCCGCGCTGCTGCTGGCGGCGTCCGTGCTGAGCGCTGCGTTGCTGGCCCCCGGCGGCACAGCGGAGCGCGACGCCCAGGGCTTGCCGCCACGAGGTGAGTGCGCGCCTCCTCCCGCCGCCCGGCAGACTCCGAGCGCGTCGTCACCTTCCCGCGGCACCGCCCCTCCCTTCGTGCGCGGGCGCCGAGCGCCAGGCCTGGCCGGAACCGCCTCCACTGCCTGAGCTGTCGCTGCGACTCCGCGGTCTGGCGCCCGGGACCGGAGGCCGGACTTCAGGCTGCGGCGGCCGGGCCCCGCGGAGCCGGGGGAGGGGACGGCTCGCGCCGCGGCGGAGCGTAGCCTGCGTCCTGGCGCCTTCTGTCTAAACAGAGGCCTTGGATCGGGATGCGGACAACCTCACACGCGCAGCCAGGAGGCGGGCCAGCCGAGGGCCGGGGGGGCTCGGACTCCGCTGGCGCCCAGTCCACTGTTTGGGGGGACTTAAAGCAGGGTCCCTTCCCGAGGGCATCGCCCCCGAGGACGTGGCGCGGAAGCCGTGCGACCCATTGGCTTCAGCGGGTGGGAAGTCCGAGGCTGGAACGCAAGTTCGCCCGCCCGCGCTGGGGTTGAACCCGCGTAGATGGCCTGCAGCCTGCAGTCCCGTCCCGGGCGAGCCCTCCCTGGCGCCTCCCCGGGGAGCATTTTCTCTCCACGGTGACAGGGAAGCCCCCGCCGCCGAGTCGGGGTCGCGGCCTGGGAGGGGCCGGGCTGGGCGCTTGTCCCTTGCACTGGCAGGAGAGGCGCTCAGCTCAGCTCCTGTTTGCACAACTGGCTCGCTCTTGGAACTCGCTGGGGAAAACGGTGACAAATACAGATTCCAGGCCTCTATCTAGGCCCCTGGACCGGGGACCCCCAGCTCCTAGGAGGTCTTTGGCACACGCCCCTCCGCAAGGGGTCGGGTAAGCATCGCAAACCCCTTTGGGTCAGTGCTTGACGAGGGTCCATACCTGGAACGGTGGGAGTCATCTGCCTTTCCCCTTCCACGCCCTTTTCTTGGTCAGAATACGAGGTTTTAGCGTCTGTGTATGGAGTTCAAACGGCCCCTCCTCCCTAAGCAGAAACTGGAGGAAGACATCGTGAATTTTGGAAAAGCGGCTCAGCAGATTACATTTTGTGTGCTTGTTCCCTGCTCCACCCAACCTCGATTTTCTGCGCTCCCCTAATTGCAAGGACCCCGGGGAGGTTATGTAATCTGCCTGATCACAATTTGTCAGGGACAGATCCCGTCGAACACTCTTTGTTTTTTTTTAGCACCGGTGTTAGCTTATCCAAGGACACTTACTTTAGGGAAAGGTGGTCTGTAAATAGTAATCACATGTAGTGAGGGGAAGCCGCGTGTGGCTGCAAGGCTTCCTCTGTCGCCTGAATCCCATGTTTGGGCTGCACAGCTTTCTGCTAAAAACATCATCATCTGCCTTCTTTTTGAAAATTCAGCATTTACTTGAAAAAAGTAGAATATGTCTTTAAAAATATGTCCAGCAAAGATAAGATCAGAGAGCTAGAACCAGAAATTAAACATTAGGAAAGGAAATAAAGGTGTAACATTTACCCCTTCACTATTGAAAGGTGACTTTATTTGGTTATTTGCTTATGAAGACGATGTAGACCACAGGAGAGAGAAAGAATGAATTGTTCTTTTGTCTGTAACGCTCTGTGGTTATTGCCCTGGAATTTCTTTGGTTAGCTGTGTGGGAAGGTGACAGCTTTTTCTTGAGGCTGAACATCAAGCTCAGTTTCGAGGTAATATTTGATAGCATAGTAATTGGGTCCTTTGGTCGTGTCTGTAAGTGATACAAACTGTTATTTTTAAAAACCACATTCAAATAATTCATAGTAAAAAGAAAGGTGTCAAAATCCGCTAGCGTTACTCTGACAGTCTCTAGCTGTGGTCCTCACCCTTGGCTGCACTCTCGAATCCGTTTGGGAGATTCGTTGTTTTTTGTGGGAAATTAAAAAAATCATGTTGATTGGGCAGAGATTCTGATTTAACTGGTCTGGAATGGGGCCAGGGTTGTTTTTTTAAAGCTTCTTCAGGTAATTCTGATATTCAGCGAGGACTGAGCCCCTCTGTACATTCCCAAATAGCATAGTAACATGACAGTGAAGAGCTTTCAGCCTAAAATTCATGTGGATAATCGAAGTATACAAGTACCTATTCCACCCACCACTAGAGGCTCAGGGAAACGAATTAAAAACGGTACTTACTCCATCTACAAAGGGATGATGATGTGTGGAAAAATTACAAAGGAAAAGATCATGGCTTCATGGTCCCTTGGCTATGATCAAGTGTAGGAAAAAGTCTACAGAGAGTGACTAGAAATTTGAAAATGGAAGCCATTAAGAAGAAGGGAAATAAGAAAGAACTATTTTAAAATGATGACAAATTGACAAAGGATTTAAGATTTTTGTCTTTAATGTAGTTATGTAAATACCTCAGAAGGCCTCAGGGATTAAATAAAGGTGGTTAAATAAATAATTCAAGAATTCATATGAAAGACGCTTACTGATGGTAAACATTTGGAAAACATGTTGAAACTTGTTAATCACAAATTCAAAATGAAAATAATTAGGACGTGCCAGTTTCTATCCACCAGGCTAACAAATGAGGGAAACATGGAAAGCCTAATCAGGCTGGGCTGATAGGGATCTATCTGCCAAGGCTCAGGAGACTGGTTAGGTGTTAGGTGCACAGTTAGATGGACCTCAGCTTGAATCCTGGCTGCCAGTAGGTGGCCCAAGGCAAGCTGCTTGACCTCTCTAGGCCTCAGTGCCTCATCCCCAAATGGAGACACCAGGAGCTATTTCTTTTTTCTTTTTCATAATTAAAAAATTTTTTAATTTAACATTTAAAAAAAAGATATATTTTTTTTCTTTTAAGACGGGGTTTCACCATGTTGGGGAGGCTGGTCTTGAACTCCCGACCTTGGGTGATCCGCCTGCCTTGGCCTCCAAAGTGCTTGGATTACAGGCGTGAGCCACCGTGCCCGGCCACCAGGAGCTATTTCTGAGGGCTGTTGGGGTCTGGCAGACAGTAAGTGTAGTTCTTTGTATTACCTGGGAGATCTCAACTGTATTACCTGGGAGATCTCAACCATCACAGTTGTCATTAGATATAAGCACAACTGGCCGGGTGCAGTGGCTCACGCGTGTAATTTCAGTACTTTGGGAGGCCAAGGCAGGCGGATCACAAGGTCAGGAGATAGAAGAACATCCTGGCTAACAGGGTGAAACTCCTCTCTACTAAAAATACAAAAAAAATGGCTGAGCATGGTGACACACACCTGTAGTCCCAGCTATTTGGGAGGCTGAGGCAGGAGAGTCGCTTGAACCTGGGAGGTGGAGGCTGCAGGAAGCTGAGATCACACCACTGCACTCCAGCCTGGGCGACGGAGCAAGACTCCATCTCAAAAAAAAAAAAAAAAAAAAAAAAAAGAAATCGGCACAACTATTGGAGGGAAATTCATAATGCATATCAGAAGCTATTCAAAAGCCTGAATTTGGTTAAAGATTTTACTCTTGGGTCTGGTGTGGTGGCTCACGACTGTAATCCTAGCACTTTGGGAGGCTGAGGTGGATGGATCGCTTGAGCCTAGGATGTCGAGACCAGCCTAGGTAACATGGTAAGACCCTGTGTCTATAAAAAAATACACATGCACACACACACGTGCGTGCGCGCACACACACACACACACACACACACACACATGCACACTAGCTGGACATGCTGGCGTGCTCCTGTAGTCCCAGCTACTTTGGAGGCTAAGGTGGGAGGATTGCTTGAGCCCGGGAAATTGAAGATGCAATGAGCCGAGATCATGCCATTGCACTCCAGCCTGGGCAACAGAGTGAGACTCTGTCTCTTGGGGAAAAAAAAAAAAAAGAAAGAAAAATTTAACTGGGTGTTCCCGATCCTGAAAAGGCTGTGTTGGCTTCTGCCTTGGTTGGATGTGGCCTGGATCACCATAATGTCCATGTGTTCAGCACTTGTTTTGTTTCTGTGCCAAGCACTTCGTAGATGGTCAAGTTTAGCTTTCCCAACAGTCTCATGAGGCACATACTCTTATGCTCTCTAATTTATTGGTGAGGAAACTGAGGCACATTGGGGTTCAGATTCAGGTTTAACTTGAATTTATCCCACTATGTTATACCCCAGGTCCCAAACACTGCTTCCACTGAAAGCTTTCCAGGAGACCAAAGAACAGAAAAAATGATTGTGAAAGCTTTCTTTGGCCTAGAGAATAAAAAGCTATAGTGGATTATTAAAAGTTTTATACTGCAGGGCTTGTCTTCGCTGAGCGCTAAATAAGGGTAAATTAAGATAAACTTTAAAATGTAGGATTGAGCTGGCTACATGAAGAATTCCTGATTCTGCCATTCAAATGAGTGACTAGAGAGCCCAGAGGAAGCTTTCCCACTACAAAATAGAGACCTTCCTCATTGTGTTATTAAATAGTTCCCCATTTTTTTCTTTTGGGTAAATTTACTTAGAGGATAAATTGTCTTCTCTTTTATATAATATTATATAAATGGCCCAGTTGGTTGAAATGAACCACTTTGCTTTGACTTTAGACAAGAGCAGTTCACTTTATTTTTCCTACCAAGTTGGCACATATGACTTTAGAATGTGCGTCATCTTTCTTTCATCCTCAGCACATCATGTAGTGAACTGGTGAGCAGTGTAATGAGTGAATCCAGGAGCAGTGGGTCTCTCTGCCCTTCAGATTGAGGCTTGTCTTGAAACTCTCTCCTTACTGCTCTCTGATCTGCCATGGAAATTAGGAGATTTCAAACTCCAAAGTGATAGAAAGTAGTACTTCTCAAACTTTCGAGGACATGCACCCCACCTCTGGGTCCTGCTAACCTGCACTCTCTGACTCAGGCGGGTTCTGTATGTCTAACAAGCTGCCTGGCTGTACTCGCAGCTGAGTAACATGGTAGGGGAGAAAGCTTGAACTATAGAATCACACAAATTGGGTTTATGTCAGTGATTTCATTGAGAAACCATGGCCACAGGCAGTTACCTAATTCTTGAGAGGCTTAATTTATTCATCTGTAAAGTGGGGAAAATACCTAGCACATGAGATTGTCATTATTATAGGGAAACGACTAAATTCGGTACATGTCACATCTTTTTTATTTATTTATTTATTTTATTTTTTATTTTTTTTCCCCATTTATTTTATTGCATTTTAGGTGTTGGGGTACATGTGAAGAACATGCAAAATTGTTGCATAGGTACACACGTGGCAGTGGGATTTGTTGTCTTCCTCCCCATCACCTACATCTGGCATTTCTCCCCTTGCTATCTCTCCCCAGCTCCCCACCCCCCACCGTCCCTCCCCTATTTCCCCCCAACTGACCCCAGTGTGTAGTGTTCCCCTCCCTGTGTCCACGTGTTCTCATTGTTCAATACCCGCCTATGAGTGAGAACATGCGGTGTTTGATCTTCTGCTCCTCTGTCAGTTTGCTGAGAATGATGGTTTCCAGGTTCATCCATGTCCCTACAAAGGACCCAAACTCATCGTTTTTGATGGCTGCATAATATTCCATGGTGTATATGTGCCACATTTTCCCCATCCAGTCTATCGTCGATGGGCATTTGGGTCGGTTCCAGGTCTTTGCTATTGTAAACAGTGCTGCAATGAACATTCGTGTGCACGTGTCCTTATAGTAGAACGATTTGTAATCCTTTGGATATATATCCAGTAATGGGATTGCTGGGTCAAATGGAATTTCTATTTCTAGGTCCTTGAGGAATCGCCACACTGTCTTCCACATTGGTTGAACTAATGTACACTCCAACCAACAGTGTAAAAGTGTTGCTATTTCTCCACATCCTCTCCAGCATCTGTTGTCTCCAGATTTTTAAATAATCGCCATTCTAACTGACGTGAGATGGTATCTCAATGTTGTTTTGATTTGCATTTCTCTGATGACCAGTGATGATGAGCATTTTTTCATATGTTTGTTGGCCTCATGTATGTCTTCTTTTGTAAAGTATCTGTTCATATCCTTTGCAACTTTGAATGGGCTTGTTAGTTTTTTTCTTGTAAATCTGTTTTAGTTCTTTGTAAATTCTGGATATCAGCCCTTTGTCAGATGGGTAAACTGCAAAACTTTTTTTCCATTCTGTTGTTTGATGATTCACTCTAATGACTGTTTCTTTTGCCGTGCAGAAGCTGTGGAGTTTGATTAGGTCCCATTTGTCTATTTTGGCTTTTGTTGTCAATCCTTTTGGTGTTTTGGTCACAAAGTCCTTGCCTACCCCTATGTCCTGAATGGTTTTGCCTAGATTTTCTTCTAGGGTTTTTATGATGTTAGGTCTTATGTTTAAGTCTTTAATCCATCTGGAGTTAATTTTT